ATGTTTATATTTGTATTACATTTTTATCAAATATTTGTATTCATATTAAAAAAAATAAATTTGCTAAAGTAGCAATTTAGATTTTTACCAATATTTGTACAAGAATATTTTTATCGATATCTATGTTTAATACAGGTATGTTCACATCTCGTGTTTACCTCTTGGTACATAATACTTGTCGTGGAACGAGGCGGAAGAACGACAATGCTTACTCCGAGAGGAAACTCATGACTTTCATAAGTCTTTGTGCATTTTCCGAGCAAGCTACCCGAGCACGAGCTGTAACTTGTTAAAATTCCATCGTGATTTCCGCGCGAAGCTGCGAGGGTAAAAGCACGTCGAAAGAAACGCTGCCAGCTCTCGGATAATCTCGTGGCACGGATTATTGAGCACGTTTCGCACAAGTCCTTTTCCGTTTACTTCAGTAAACCAATAAACTCTAACTTCATTTCAGGTAAATCCTTACGAGTTTCATGTTCGAACTCTTCGACTTGCCGAAGATTTTCTTATCTGAAAGACTTGTCAAAACGCGCGAACAAATCGATTCGCAGTATCGGTGTGAATGTTTATATTTGTATTACATTTTTATCAAATATTTGTATTCATATTAAAAAAAAAAAAAAAAACAATTCTTTTAGCGATATTGCGTGTTGCTAAATTTCTATTTAAAAACGTTTACGCTTCATTTCATATATAAAATACAAATAAAAAAGCGAATATCCGATGTAATCACATAAATTTTTTAATCTTTAAAATAATTTATGTTGCATTACAAATAACTTCGATTATAGTTTCTCTCGATGACTTCTACAACAGTTTCGTCGCAATGAAATTGTGATCAAATCGGAGACAGTTATAGCACCGTTTTGTCGTCGCATCCTCTTTACCGTTATAGAAAACCTACATCCAGCGTGAATTTCATTGAAATAGTTTGCAGTAAAAGTTTATTATTCCCTATTGAGAGGAGCTTTCCATCGGATAGGTAGGACCGTACAAACGTCATGTAGCCTTAACTGTTTCTCGAATGTCGCGCATTCTCAACGGGGGAGGTTCTCACCCCCTCGCCCACGACAACCGTCTGAAATAGCGCATAGAACAATCGGCAATCTCGCGTAAGATCTTGCTTGATCGAAATACCTAGCAGAAATGGCCGGTCCAACTGTTAACTTCTTCCCGCACGCCTCGACGAAATAGTTTTGCTCTCGGTGCTCGATTCGCTCGCGATTCTCCGTCGCGGTTCGCTGCAAAATGCAGATACAGCCGGCACGGTCGAGAAGTGAGGTGTAGTTTGGAAATGAAATTTTGCGGGAATTTATGATAGTTTGCACAATAAAAGTTACCATACCTATTCACGCAATCGTATCCCGTGATAGAACCGTTGCATAATGCGTATGTGATATAACAGAATATTTGTGTCACACTCTACATTTAAATATCGTGCTGCGTACGCGTTTTTTCACGAGAGAAAAAACACAAATCAAACTGCAGTATTATACAATAATATAAACTGTGCTCATATAATTCTCAGTTTTACTACAAATACGATCCGCATTCTTATTAAACTTGTATGTGTTGAAAAATATATGAGCATGTGTATATATAAATTATAACGGAATCTTCTTTTTCTTTATTTGAATAATCATCTACTTTTCGGGATTATATGATTTAGAAAATTAAGATAATTTGTATATATAAACTTTCTCCTTTTAAGATTTATATAAATTTAAACTTTACATTTTTAATGCAAATTAATAATAAATTAATTAATAATAAATAATTTTGAATGTTATTATAAAAATCAGAACTCGTAACAAGGTAGCAAGAACAAAGTTTGCAAAAGTTTAAAGAGTTTTACTTGAAATCCAGCTACGCGTGTAAGTGCGTGATATTACAAAAAAAAATGCATTACTCATTGCAATTTGGTAAATTGATGTTCAGTATAATGCAAGAATCTAATCTAATTTATTTGTTACGATCAAATTGGATAATGAAGGAGTTCCACGTGTTTTGCGAAATCCGTAATTTCTTTGTGTCTGTCGCAGAGTAATGATTATTGCATAAACTACGGCAATAAAACAACAAAAAGTAAAGCAAGCAGACAAAGTAAGACAGAAACTTAATGAGAAACCATTGAATCACCTTTGGCACCAAAGTCTGCTGCCAATGCCATTGCGGTTTCCGACGCGGTTAAAGGTGATGAAGTGTGCTAAGAAAATACCGAAGTACGCCGTGGAAAAGTGGATAGACAGACGCAGGGGCTTGCCTCTGAGGCAAGAAGCGCGACCCTTAATTTCGTTTCTCGTTAAATCGTTCTTTAACGAGAAAATAAGGCCGCCTTTGAGTCGGAACTCTTGAAATACGAAGACACGATTTCCCCTGCGATATGTACGATAATGTCGAGCGAGAGATGAGACGTGAACATCGCAGATTAAAAGCGACGTTCCTTATCGCAGTTATCGCTGATAGGATTTTGAAGTCTAAACTGTTGGTCGTGGAGCACCTCTCCGTTCTAGAGAAATATACTCAAGATATATAAATATTTGTGTAATCTCGTATAATATATATGTACGTATATCTCGCCTCTCTTATTATTAGCAAAATAAATACGCTAGATAATTTGCGTCTCACTAGACATTTCGTACTTTAAACTTATGTGATTATTAATGTTTTTTAAATTTACATAAGATAATATCTAAATATCTCTTACATGTTTTAGAGCTCTTACGCATTGTATAATTATCGTTATATCCGTTTATATAATGCGCGAATATGCGCGCGTGCTCCTATTAAATACCTATTCCAAAGCTGTTCGCAGGTACGTGCAATGGCAGAAATTCATATTCATTAACTGTGGACTGTTATGCACGAAATTCACGATATATCTAGTATGTAATGTATTATGTCTTTCTCGTGCGGAGCTGAGTCATGTTATTAAGCGCTCCGTGCTATACCGACACATGGGTTACCTTAATCAAAGCTTGTTAATCAGTTTGATAACGACTTTCGAAGGACGTGCTTGCGAATTCCAACAGTTTCACTCGATTCTCACTCTCATTATCATTAACACGTTGAATGCTGTGACGGCCATCGACATTATGACGATGGCGTATTTCGTTGATGAACGTATAAAATTTAACGTATTAGAGCTAAGAACAGTTACACGTTCTCTCGCCAATCAAACGAGATAATAAGCTTACTTATTTAGCATTAAAGAGATTCAGAACAAAATTTAAGAGTCTAATTATTCATCGAACTGAGAAAAATATCTCTCAATAATGATCCAAGACGGAAAGATTTTAGACCATATTAAAAGTTTTCAATCTCATCTTCCCGATGTGCGCCTGTATAATCCTCATCTTAACTTTAGCAAAGAAAAAGAGAGAGAGAGAGAGGGGAGGGGGAAAGAGAGAGGGAGAATGAAATTTACAAAACCATTTATTCTGACATTTTACTGCGGCAATGAATTTCGAGTTGCTCCAAGCGCGTTACTCGTGTTCTCATCCTCTGTCGCCGTAGGCGCGACAATTAACACTGCGAAGTGTTTTATAATAAAGCACTTGGGGGCGTAATTAACGCTGTCCTGTATCCGAGCTGTCGCGCTTAAAAGACTTAAAAGTAACTCAAACTTATCTCGAAGCTTGTCTCCCTATTCTATCTTTCGCTCTCTTCCTTCTACGATATTTTGTCTTCCCCTACCCCCCCCCCTCTCCCTGATTTTGCTTTCTCCCCTCTATCCTTCTGTTTCCCGTTCTCCGCAAGTTCTTTGTGCCCATAAATAATTCAGATGCTCGGGACATCGTAAAGACATTAACGAAGATAAAAGCTTTTAAGGGAGACCGGCCTGAATTCTCAACTCGTTGTATTACTCTAATGATAATAACTCCGCAATCAGGTCGGACGATGTATTGTTTAGGCATACGTGCAGGCGTGCCAGCATCAAACATACATAAGTGAATAATAGTCGAAGTGATTAATCAAGTGCTTAGCTTGCGACAGATTTATCTTGATCAGACGCACGGCGCGTAGCAGAAAGGAACATTTATTAACATGAGCGGTATCATGTGAATAATTATTGATGTTGTAATATTCTTACCCATTCCTTCTTAATAAAATTGGATCTGTGAATTGAATACGAATAATATATAATATATCAGAAATGATGTAAAATTATTTAGGTCAGCATCTTAAATAAAATTTTGATGAATAAATTTTGCATAATTTGAGAATTGTCAAAAACTAATCTATAAGATAATAATAATTATTATCAAAAATCATCTCAATTTTATGAAAAATAAGCCACAAAAATTTTAAACAATTTATTGTTTATTATTTATTTGTTTTAATAACATCTCTTTAAATCTTTTCATAATTAATATTTTATCTCGCAGTTATACAATTATTCAGCAATGAATATTAATTGTTTCTACGCAAAGTAATGCATAAAAAATGTAAATGAATAATAGAAGCTTATTTACTAATTAATTTAACACTGGATTTTAGAGAAAAATTAATGTTTATAATGGCCGAGGCGCAACAGTAATTTAACAGACTATGATAAACAGATACTGGCACCAACGTAACCAGGACTATGTTGATTTTCTAATTAAAAATATTTTTTATTTCTATCTACATATACGCATATACACAAAATGTATAATTTATAATTTATTTATAATTTTTGGAAGAAAACAGCAAATTATTTGCTTTGATTAAATATATTATTAATTATCTCAGGCAATCGTTGCAACACACTTTAAGACTTTTAAAAATTAGATTTTTTTTTTTGAAAAAATGTCCATACTTCTTGCACGTGACACACATGTCTTTAAGTATCTGGTAGAATTTACAATATAATGTCTTATATTAAATAAAATTAATAATTTAAAACATAGAAAATAGACACAAAAACAAAAAAATAAATATTATGTTTTAATTGGTTTAATAATTTATTCTCTACTTGATTATTTTTATTATTTTAAATGTCTACATTATTGTTACAGACACCGATTTACCTCGATTCGCCGAGGAAATCCAAAATGTGACAGTGAGCGTGGGACGTGATGCTCTGCTTGCTTGCGTGGTGGATAACCTACGACATTATAAGGTACCGTAAATTAACTCACTTCTTTGTCTTTATTACTTCATGTATGCCAAACGTCATGCGGGATATTATTATCGCCCAATTACCCAAATTATTTTTGCGCTACATATTCATTGATTTTAATTATTCAAAAACTTAATGAAAAAGCTTTTGTGATATTATAAAGTGATATACCTGAAATGTGAAATTACCTCTTCGTTTTCGTTGAACGTGTGTTGAATTACATATAGAACGCCGTTATCGTATAATTATTCGTATTTTCGCCGAGTTGAATTTGGTCCATCGATTGAGACATTCAGAAAAATTGAGGTCACGTATTTATATATATGCTATGGTTATAATCGAAAATGTCAGAGTCTCCATTCTTTTCAATTCTATTTTTTGTTCTTTGCGTTATTATTTTTTTGCTTAATTTATATCATGCGCAAGATAAAAGCGCAGATTAAAGTAGATATGGAATAGGAAAAAATCTACTAATATTAGCAGACATCTCATATAAAGACGTAACTAACGCGTCTTATTTGCTACACATTAACATAGATATGACTATAATATGTAAAAATAAACAATGTCATCGCTAAGATAGTATTTTCAGTGCAAATTGCCATCGAATAAGATTCAAAGTTTTCTTGCCGTTTCATAGAGAAGCGCTTGCACAAATTAAACGAAGATAATATCTGCTGAAATCCCTACGGCGTTTATGGTCCGTAGACTGCGAATTGGACGGTCCTAGTTTACGTACCGTTATCAAAGGCCTTGCATAATTGCTTCATTTTCCTTCAGTTAATTGAGATGACGTAACAATGGGATACAATTCGTTCTGCTGAGTAGCGACAACACTTACTGGATACAATGCAATTCGCAAGGAAAAGAGGGCGTAAGCTAATAATACGTTCCTTCTTTCTCAAAATGGTGATCAGAATCAAGTAGAAGTTTATAAATTATTCTATATTATTTTGCGAGCTAACTAACTCTATTTTTCTTCCTCCACCCACTTGCCCTTCGTGTCGCGGATTTCTTCATTTCTTATTAAACAAGTTAAATTAAATTCATACATTTTCTTTAAACGTATTTCAGGAATGTTCTTTGCTATATGTAATATAATCTGCAAGGTATTCGCCATTTGTCGCTTGAAAATTTAATGAGAGCTGAAAGATTTATATCCTCGTCGTTCGACGAGTTTTCGTGCTCTCG